GGGGGGAATTTAGCGAGTGCGAATGTAAATTTAGCGAGTGCGAATGTAAATTTAGCGAGTGCGAATTGAATTTAGCGAGTGCGAATTGAATTTAGCGAGTGCGAATTGAATTTAGCGAATTTTGAAACAAATGGACGACCATAAACGTTCGAACTAAGCCTTAGCTTGAGCCTATTTTCCGCATACCCAGATTTCGCCACGCCGCTACTCTTCCGCAGCCAAAACATTTCGTGCCGCCCACGCGTGTCGCGCGAGCTCATCGCCAATAACAACATGGACGCTTGAAAATAAATCAAAAATTGTTTTCAAAGTTGAAAACATCTGACAACGCCAACACAATGCAAGAGCCGTCTAGCCAGCCAAGTGGCTTAGAAACGCCAAATATTGAGAGCGATCGGGCAGATTATCCAGTGAATGCGTCCTCTAGCGATGATAGCATTAGCACTCATGTTGGAAGTTCAGCAGGTCCTAGCGATGAAATTTCAAGCAAAACTGACTTAACAAGTGACGTTACTGGCCCGCCAAAACCAAAAAGACGTCCAGGGAAAGGTATTGCTTTGCACAGAATGACATAAAATGAAGTTGAAACGGGTAACTTTCCATAGAAATCTCCCAAAATGACGTCACAATGATTTAAGGCACATGTATATCAATATATGATTCTTACCCTGGCCTTTGTACTCAAATAAATGCGTGTAAAGATGTCACATTTCGAATCTCGCCTTAAACAGATGAACAGGAATAGTGCATTCAGCACTTGTTTTTGTACACCAGAATGAGAATCGTGTACGACTAGTTGTATTATGTAAACGGCTATTATTAGGGTTACAGTCTGGGTTAGGACAAGGTTATGGGGTCAGGATAATCCTAACCTTACTATATAGCCGTAATCTTAACCCCATCCTGACCTTGTACTTACTGTATTAATACGGTGTTTTACTCTGGTATATGTGTCGTTCATTCAGTGTTCAAAACTAATAATGCCAACACTGTGAGAATGTTGGATTACGGGTTAGGATTAAGGAGAAGGTTAGCATTAATAGGACTGTATATAAGGATTAGGAATCATTTAAGAGTAAGAAATTGCCTCAACTTGTGGCTGTTGATATGGGAATTGATGTCAGCTTTACTTTCACCTATTAATGCAGGCTCTCCTTCATGAGTAAAATCATCTCATCTTAGACAGATTAAAATAATAAAGTAGGGCTCATTGGGTACGTGTGCACAGTGCAACGTAATGGGTTAATTAACTAGGACACATATGGGCAGACAGTCTAATCAACCCATTGAGCACCAGCACTCTCAACTTGATGAGTAAAATTGTCTGGTGTTAGACAGAGTAAAATAATAAATTAGGGCACAATGTAACTTAACCCATTAAGCTGCAGAGCTTCCCCATTGACAAGTAATATCGGCTCGAGTTAGACAAGTAAAAAAATAGGTAGGGTGCACTGGGGCACATTGCGGCTCAATGGGTTAATGCATTAAATATGTAGAACTGAAAGTATAATTTATATGTGAATAGCTCCAGATCTTCCAATTTATGAAAGACGGAACTGGCTGATCCATCTCCATTATGTTCGAAAAGACATTGAAAATTGCAAAGTAAGTATAGGTTGTGTCAGAAATATTTAGTAAAAAAGATCCTAATGTTGTGGCCTGAATGTTTCCGATACATATATTTCCAGTCGTTAATTGATGAACAGCTCAATGAAAGCCAAGGGATGTGCGAATACGCATTGTATATACAAGGTTTGTATCTAATCTAACCGTGGTTTCGTACTATACCAATACAGAACTGCCAAGACATAGCCAACAAGAGGGTGGGGCACCCAGCAAATTATGAGGGGCAAAGCTGTACCAGCAAGTCCCCCCCCCCCCATGTTTTAATTCAAATCCCATTACATGCAACGACTTAACCCAATTCCACCCACAATGAAATAGAAATCTATCATAAAATCCTATTTCATGCCTTTTTTTTTAGTTATAATCCTGAGTCCCACTTAAAATTTTGGCCCATCCTCCCCTAGATTATAAACTGGTCAATAGTAGCTAGTAGTAACAACTTAAATGTAAGACAATTTTTTGTGGACTAACCAGGGATGGATCCAGCATGATCTGGTAGGGGGGGGGGTGCTCTGCCAGCTCTAGTGCAGAATTGTGTCGGTCACATGTGCCGCCCGCCCATCAACATACAGTACTTGCTTGACTACTGTATTTGAACTATAAAGTATAATTGTTGTTCACAGTTCGCTTATCATCATGTTATTACTCCAATTACTGTATCTCATTTTGTCTCTAACATTTTTGGCTTTATCATGAAAAATAGCACACACACCCTCCCTGGCCAGGGTGGGTGCACCCCCTCCCCCAGTATATCCATCCCTGGGACTAACAGTAAATGAATGACAATAAATATCAAATTTTGGCAAATAGCAATGGTCAAATAATAGGTATCCATGTTATCAAATTTCTGCTATTTTCCAATCTCTTCAGCGCTTCTGTTACGTGAAGAAGGAAAAATCCAAGAGTCTCTGGAACTGTTCCAGAGGACAGTTCAAATCAACCCAAATAATGTTGATAATTTGAAGCAAGTGGCAAGATCACTGTACGTGGAAAAAATTTACGTTATTTAATTTTTTTGGACTGAGAAACAAACTATACCGTACTAATCGTAGATGAAAGATATCCGTCTGATAATTTTTGTGTGTGAAAACGCAATAAACAAACAGATCATCCGTCAAAACGAACTACACCGCACTAAAGTATCTGTGAAATAAAATAATCTACAGATGGTCCGTCCGATACAAAACCTAGGATGGTTTATTGTCGTTTCGTACACCTGCCTTTTCGTACCCTTACCATTTCATTGGTCCTTTCATACCCAGACACGTTGGGAGGTACGAAACGACCAGAGTCAGACGGGTACGAAATGACTGGAGTATGGAACGATGAACTATCTGGGAAATATCAGGCATGATTTGTCCTGGAACCATTGCAATTGTACATCGCTGTCTTGTTTGGATAGTTCGTTTTATGTTCACACTTCGGTGGCGCAATCGTGAGAGCAAGCGCCATTCACTTCTGAGATTGTAGGTTCGATCCTCATATCGGACTAATGACAGTTATGTGAAGAGTTACTCAACGCTCTACCGAAAGTCGTGGGTTTTCTCTGAATACTCCTGTTTCCTCCTGACAGGGTGAGTTGGGATTAGCCCCCTAACTGACCCTTCCACCGTAACTGGATCCGGCAGACATGAGTCATAAGGTGGCTGCCAGAGGCGCCCTTAGAAAGCCTTCGACTGGATCAGGTTGAGCTGCATCCTTCGTAATTCAGCTTAGCTCTCAGCTGCAAGTAAAGCCTGCATGGTTGAAACCTGTATTTTGTGTTTCTGACGGGTGCAATTGCAAATGAGTGAACTCGCACACAAAAGTATAGAGTCGCTCTTGAGAAGTAAACAATTCTAAGTCTTTTGCATGTCATTCGATCACATTTGCCATGCGAAAAATCGCCTACACAGGCGACAGAATTGCTAGTGTGAACCAGGCATAAGGATGATTAGCACCACACTTATCATCCGTACGACGATCCGTAGGACGGATGATGCGTCATAACCCACCATTGCCAACATTTCATGTTGGAAGAAACAGAGTACCTAGTCCTAGTTAAACCTTTCGGCAGAGCCAGAGCTTGCCAGAGCGTTGACTCACTCTTTTTACATGAATGTCTCAAGTGCGGAATGATAATCAAATTCACGATCTCGGAGATGAAAGGTAATGACTGTGCCACCGATGGTATCTTGGCTTAGAACTGAAGTAACGAGGTTAACGAGGTTACGATTCAGATTTTAAAATGTTCAATCATTCTCGAATAGGTTTCTGTTAGCTCGACATAAGGCTGCACTGGAAGTGTACCTGGAAGCAACGAAATTAAATCCTCAAAATTGGGTAGGAACATGTTGCATCTAAAGGCCCGTTTACACTTGCCATTTTTGCTGCGATTTCCTCCTTCTGATGCATGTGAACGAGTAGATGAGTTACGATGTTCAGAGTACACGCAGCCTCATCTGAACATTCATAACTTATCCACTCGTTCACATCCGTCAGAAGAAGAAAATCGCACCTAAAATCGCAGCAAAAAATGAGTGTTAACGAGTCTTAATGCATCATTATTTTACCTCAACTTCATTCTATACAACTATGATTTAATTCCGCAACTAAACACGCTTTTCGCATTTTACAGGAAATTTTTCACAATCAAGGTAATCTAGTTTCTTTCTCACTTCTTTTATGTGAACGTCAAAAATTAGCCGTAAATTAAATATTTCAGAACTTCTCAAACGAATATTTCTAAATGTCTTTCCTGCAGGCATTTGCTATATGTACCTCAAAGATTACGAGAACGTAAGTCAAGGCTACTGACTGGAATTAAACTGGACCAAATTAAAACAGATTTTGATAAAAAAAAATTCGTTATCAATTTTTAGGCTGCTGTGTCATTAAAGAGTGCAATTCAGTTAAACCGCCATGATACATCATTCGTACAACTGGCTAAAGTACATCTATTACAAAACGATGTGGCCTCCGCCATTGAGGTTTATAAACATGCTGTCGAGTAAGTATATAGACGCCTCTGTAGCTCAGTTGGTTAGAACACTGCACCGGAATCGTATAGGGCCACAGGTTCGATTCCTGCGAGGGAGCCAATAGTTGCATTTTGCGCATGCAGCTGCTCCCTGGTTAATAGGTCTTAAGAAATCAGTATAAAATTTACATTCGAACTTTTCATCTACAAAATCTTTCAACATTGGTTGAATCAAGTGAGATGCCCAAAAATCCTGGGGCCGATTGTACGAAGGCCGGACAGCGCCATCCACAAATATCCATTGATAGTCAAATTTTCAACCGGCATAAAAATGCTTTAAAAGCTATAAAACTAATAATATAGAGCCCAAAATAATAAAAGAAACTCCAATTTTATTAATATTATGACTTAATCTGGGTTATAGCAAAAACCGAAGTCTTGGAAGGCTTCCGCTATCCGGCGCACAGCGCTACCCAGCCTTCTTACAACCGGCCCCTGATGTTTAACGTTAACATCCCTCAGCTGGCTTGTCCCTTCGTTGCTCGCTCTCTCGGTCAGACAATCATATTCAGGCATAAAAACGAGTTACTTTTACCCTCAACCTCAAAGCTGTACTTTATCTTCAGATACTCACCAGAAAATCCTGACTTGATGACAACACTTGGACTACTGTTTTTACAGGTATGGGCATGCCTCCCGATTTTATTTTTGTGGCTGTCTTCGACAGGGAGTTACGCTATGCCGACGCACCTGCATGGCTTCATGATATTTAAGATTGTTTATTTTAGCCGGTGCCGGTGACTCCCAGTGTAGATACTTATAGGTTATTTTTACACTATACCGGAAAGCCTTCCGTAACGCAGCGAAAAAAACACCTATCCGATAAAGAATGTTCAAATTTCAGAAGCGAATAAAGCCTGGTTCACATATGCCTGCGCTATCATTGTTTACAGCTGTTGATGCATACATTCTTTTGTGAATTATTTGGTTGAATTGCTAACCGCCTGCCGACATACCGCAGGTATATGTGAACCAGCTTTAGCTCCACTGCCTGACCATACGATTCTTGGAGTTGGCCGGTTTTTTAATGCGGAGCTAATGTGGAGCTTAAAACCCCGTACCAAATTTCTTAATATTCACGAAGTTGAGTTCTTTTTCCAGGTTGGTCAGACTCAAAAAGCATTTGAACATTTGGGAAACGCCTTGACTTATGATCCGACCTTTGCTAAGGTAAGAGATATGAGCCCTAATCAATCAACACATTTTTGTGCCCGTTGCCACCCGATTCATATTTTCAGATAACTGACTTGCCTAGTTACCACTGTTCTGATAAATTGTAAGTGCGTAGAATGGAACAAAGATATAACCAAACATTTTGAATTATATATGTGAGTGAATTGGATCGCAGCGGGCATAAACATACGTTAGCTGATTACGTCTATCATATAAATAATCTTTTTTAATAACTATACAGTACCTATAACCACTTATCATTATACTTTTTTTAATTAGGCAATTTTAGCAGCTGGTTCGATTATTCAACTGCACGGGGATTACGATGTGGCTTTAACCAAGTACCGAGTGGCTGCCGCTGCTACACCTGAGTCCGCACAACTATGGAATAACATTGGAATGTGTTTCTTTGGAAAGAAAAAACATATTGCGGTAAGACTAAAAAATCTCATCGGGTGTTAGAAATTACCAACTTTCTCAGTCGATCAGCAGCCAGAGAGTCAGTCTGCAGACCTTTGGTAACAATGGTTTTTTGTTTTGAAACAATAGTCTATTGTTTTGTAACAATGGAATTTTTTTTTCACAATTGTCTATTCTATTTTATTCAGTTATTGTTTCGTAACAATGAGTTGTCTTTTTAATGTTTTTCTATAACAATGACCGTATTGTTCTTTATCCTAAAACTGTATCATATATTTTTTTAACTTCTAGGCAATCAGTTGTCTGAAGAGGGCTGCGTATTTAGCTCCATTTGAATGGAAAGTTTTCTACAACCTTGGCTTAATTCATTTGTCCATACAACAGTACGGTTTCATATATTCGTAATAGTAATACACTAAGAAAGTTCTTGTAATATCATTCAAACACTAATAATATAATTGTGGCATAATAATTACGCCTACTACGCAAGCTAAGCTACAGTTTCACGTGAGAGTAGATGTTTCATTCTGGACTGTCCATCGTTAGATTAGTTAGATGCAAACTACTTAATATAATATTTTTACTTTTAGATATGCCTCGGCATTTCACTTCATAAGCGGCGCAATATCACTCAAGCCAAAAAACGGAGAACTATTCATGTTGCTAGCTGGTAAGCTATAATTGAACTTTCATTGTAAGATGGTGCTGATACGAGGGGAAGGGCCAGCCCTTTGAGACGAGATCACACTATTGAGTAGCCGATATCTCCCCTAAGATAGGCCTACAAGGCTGGTCATTTCCCCATAAAACGCACTATAGCTGTTTTAAGTCTAGCGTACCGGATACGTCTTTGCATAAACGTTGGATAAATACTTCATATTTATAGTTAATAAGTTATTGTTCGCTTTCTTTGCAGTTGCTTTGGCGAACCTGGATGACAAAGACAACGCGAAAAAAGCTTACAATCGGGCAGCAATGTTAGATCAGTAAGTATTATTGTGAACTTCAATCATGGTAGACGACTATGTCTCTAAGGTGGGGGGACCACTCTAGGGTGGTGGGGGTCCACTCTGGGGTGGTGGGGGACCCAATCTAGTGTTAGTAACGCCAAGCTAAACTTCTGGCGAAGGCCTCAGAACATTGAAGTAAACATTTATAGCAACTTGTCATAATTTGTAGAAACGATCCAGTGATCTGTCTGAACTACAGTGTGTTACTGTATAAAATGAACGAAAGAAGAAATGCGGCAAAGCAGTTCGCGGCCTACGAGAAGAGATTGGATGGTATGAAAAGAGACGGCAAAGCTGGAGAAATCGATTCTCAGGTATAGTATAGCACGGTATCTGGTATTTGATGGTGTGATGTGGTATGGTGTGTTATCATTATGTGGTGTGGCATAGCATGGTGTACAGTATGGTATGTTATAGTGTAGCATAGTATTGTGTGGTGGTACGAGTATGGTATAGTATGGTAGTATCATGGTATTGCATAGTGTGGTATGGTATAGTGTAGTATGGTATTTCGATGTAATATGTATGGTATAGTATGGAGTAGTATGGTATAGTATGGTATAATGTGGAGTATTGTATGGTGTGGTAATTAATCATTCAACTTTAATTGATCTTCCCAGGTTTATGAGACAGCAGCCAAGCTCAGCCCTCTCTTACAAGTTGGTGAGAAATTTGTGTACAAGGAGTCTTCGTCAAACACCTCGCTGCCTGAGTCCGAAGGATATGCGATGTCTGATAGCAGTAGTAAAAGTTCGTTCGTTTAAAAAATTCCTGAACATGGACAACAGTAGGGTACCATTTCTTCTGAAATGTAAACGCGAAGACAGACTAGCAAACATATTGGAAAATGTTAAATTTTCCTCATATCTCTCCCCACTCTTTAAAACTTTATCTGGAAATACAATTTCTTCTCGAGGAAGCAAAACATTTTGCAACAAACTCGGAAACATTTCATCTCACAGGAGAGATTGTTTTGCAAACATTTTTTATGGACAAGCCACAGCCAGTAATGGAGCATAACTAACTTTCAGCAAAACAGCATTACATTGCCTTTTTATTGTTTTGAAAATTCCACTATTTTTCATGCCATCCAGTCACTTGTTGTTGTGACATATTTACGGCGTTATACAAGAGACTTATTTACTCAGAGATAATTTACCCTTCACTCCTCGAGACAAATGTTTCTGACAAAGCCTGGTTTGTCCACCTTTGGGAAAAATGACAATGAAGTTTCCTGGTTCGTTTTAGACCTTATATGAAAATCTCATAAATAAAGCGTTTTTCCCTGTTTCATAACTAACTTGTGTAAATATTACTACCATAGAGTATAAAAGCATGTTTGAGTCATATGTTATTTATACGTTAATTTATTGTATCAAAATAAAACCATGATTAAATAATCGTTAAACTGTTATAACTCACGTGAGCCGCCAGCGAGTGGCTAGCGACTGATACTTCGGAGCTACTTGATGTTGTAGATCAGATAACAAAAATACCGCTAGTAAGTTGTGACATCTGCGTTGTTTTGTTAAATGGATTGCAAGGAGTAGTGGTCGTCACAAGTTTTGATAGTGGCCCTTTGTGAGCATATTCTTGAACACGGAGGTCGTCTCTAGACACATTTCTACACGTGGAAAAAAAGTCTTATAAAATATCTTAAAGGTGATCTACAGTCCGTATGTAAACAAAGCCTTTGTTTACATTTTTGTGTCCAAAATATTGAGCTTTATTCGACAACTATTTATATTTTCAAGCTTCTAGAGTATAATAAATGATCAAGAAACAACAATCAGGCTTTTCAAGAACTCAAAACATAGTTAAACTGTTTGTATCATAAAAAGTGGGCTCATTTGTGCACATGCGCAGATCGGACTGTAGATCACCTTTAAGTTTAACGGATGATTCCAACAGTCGACTAATTTTTTATCTAGACAAGAAAGACGAAATATATCATTATAGCTCAAAAGAGCATCACTAGTAAAATTGCAAAGTTTGGTTGCGAAATGTTGTAGAATACGAAAAATATAGCCCTGTGAAATTAGCAAATTTTGAGTATTTTAGTATTACGAGCGGGAAAATGCACCACTTTCGGCTCAAAATTTTGGAGGATTTGTAAGATATCTTTGAGGGAATTGCATGACTCACTGTTTAACCCTGAATCAGTTCTCTCGAATATTTCTTACAAATTCTTAGCGCTGGCGCTCAATGGGGTAAGTTAAAACACTTGGAACACTTTATTTTGTTAAAGGGGCAGTATGATCAAAATTTTTATTCTCTTAAACCAAAGCTTAAACGAAAATGCTCGTAAAACTGTATAATAATTTGTTTTTAAGATTTTTGCTCTCATGCTTAGTTCTTGAGATATTTCTTTTGTTTGTAACTATGTGACGTCATCTACTCAATTACATATATAATGAGATATCAGTAATTGTTGTGTATCTTTGCTATTTTTGATCGATTTGTTAAAAAACACAGTATGCTTAATGATGCAGGTTAAATTAACAAACGCGCCGCATCTTTCGAAATATTTTGATAAAAATAGCAAAGATACACAACAATTACTGATATCTCATATATGTACTTGAGTAAATGACGTCACATGGTTACAAACGAAATGAAATATCTCAAGAACTAAGCATCGGAACCAAAATCTTCAAAACAAGTTATTATACAGTTTTACGAGCACTTTCGTTTAAGAAAATAAAAATTTTGATCATACTGTCCCTTTAATCTAGAGCTTGAAATGTCCCCCATAACAATGCATGTCTGCCAACTCTCATCAATTCTAATCCTTGTTTGACCGGGACTTTAAAAACTAAGATGACAAATTACCTGTATGTAGCAGCCGAGGATGATAGCATCAAGCGAGGGTCGCGCGCTGGACTAGGGATCACCGGGAGCTTGGGGACGAATCCAGCATAGCCTGGTGATGGTCGGACACTGAAACAAATATGATACTTAGTCATCCTTTCAAATTCAATAATTTGTAAAATCTACATGAAATACAAGTATTTAAAATACATACTGTTGAACGGTTTGAGGTAATGATCGTGGTCCTTCAACTCTCGTGACAGCAACTTCATTTGGCTTTTGCTGACGTTTACACAGCAAACGAGTTTTCGGTTTGCTAGAAAAAACCCCACAAAATTATAACTATTTATGTAGCCTTCGTGCTAAGTGATTGTCGATTTCAAGTCACTTTTCAACGCGCGGTTCCCAAGTTCGTTGCAAACTTGCCAATTACGTTTCCAAGTTCAAAAATTGGGCGTGAACTTCGCAACAAAGTTCGCAAGTACATTTCGATGTTTGAACTATTGTAAACAAATGTTCATTATTTCATTGAATTCGTTATTATTATATTGAGTATGAACATTTGTTTACAAACGAAGTTCAAACATTGAAATCACAGAAACTTTGAAAGTGTAAACCAGTCTCAACGCTTAGTGAAACACGCCAATTCGAACTCAATATTTTACGCACAAGAAGACTCCTACTAACATATGGACAAAAATTTCAAAGCTAACCTAAACCTCAATCGACAAGGTCGATATTGCTTCGCCTTCGGATCTTCATACAGCGGTCTCTCCTGGGCTCGTTCCCAGGTCTCTGGCACGACGTTCGTTTTCCAAGTGCCCGTTCTTCGATAGACTGAATGATAGAGCTCGCGGTCTTCATTATTCCCTATGATAGTGGGTAAAACAACTGGTCGTGCCGGGATAAGTAGCGGACATTCTTCGCCTGCCTTCTGGGTTGTACTTTTGTAAAGATTCGCTGTTACTTTATCTAGAAAATGTTGTGGGAAATCAACTTTTTTAGGTGGCATCTAGAAAATTTTAAAAGGAAAAATAGTCAAATATATACCAATTTAGAACAAAGTATCGAACTGGTCAATCGTTATTTGTGTTTCACTTATAGCCACAGCAGAACTAGCATATTTTGTCTTTGTGTAAAGCAAAATAAATTACGAAAGGTAGACCTTCCATACTTACATTTACAGAACTTTCACGACTTTCTTTTTGTAAACTTTGAGCGACTGTTTTCTCCTCCTCTTGATTCCTAGAAACTGCTTCTTCCCTTTCCTCTTGCCTAGATTTACTTCTCTTTGTATCTAAATTATTCCCAGAATTTTCTTCACTATAACTTTCCTTTTCGTCCGCTTCGGTCTGTTCCGCGTCCGCCTCGTCTGTTTTATGCTGTTCCGCGTCTACGTATTCCGCGCCGGTCGGTCCAAAACCTAACGCCGATCTCTCGTAATCTAAAATGCGATGTGGTGAAACGCGGAGTGCAAAATGCGGAAAGCAGCGTGGAACGAGTTTGTCTTTGGTATTTAGAACAAAGCTAACGTAGTTGTGAAATCGTGAAACTTGCTGACGCTCAGGAAATGTGAATTCGCTTGCGTACGATGTTTTTGTGAAAGCAGGAAAGTTGAAGACTCCAATTTGATTTGAAGAAACCATTTCTTGTGACGTAGCGAATTCTGATTGGATGATGTCATTAAATTATTACGCGTGAACGCATGCGCGCTGCCTGCACGAGCCATTATTGAGAACTTTTTCGCTTTAAATTTTCATTTATGAAACACAGTGTGTTCTGTCGAGCGAGTCCTAAATTTGGAATAATTCACACAAGTTGCACAGTGGCATCACCCTTGTTCGAAAGCCGATTACAGGGTGTCCACGGACCTTGGAAATTCTGGAAAGTCCATGAATTCGAAAAAAAAATTCCAGGACTGGAAAGTCCTTGAAAATCATTAGAAGTCCTTGAAAGTCCTGGAATTAATTTCCTTAACCTCCAGCTGTGCCAGCATTAGTGATTTTGATTTAAAATGACTGAATAAAGTGAATTATTGACGGCAAATCCGTGCCATTTTCAAGGATTTTTCCCAGTTCTAGGTCCTTGAATTTACTGAAAAAGGGCTTTGAAAGTCCTGGAAAAGTTCGTGAATTTCACCTTCACCAAAGGATGGACACCCTGCGATTAGCTTAATCCTACGTTAACCCTATATTAACTATGGTTAACCTAACATTCAAAGCAAACGTCCTGACAGCTTGTTTATAAAGTTGGAACTGTTTCTTCAGAAATCATGTTTGAATCGATAGGAGTTCACTTCTCTGAAGTTTTAAATAATCAGAAGTGCAGAAACACACAAACCAAAACAGATGTTAAACTTTAACCGAGGGTTAGCGCTCATCCCCCTTTGAACAACTGGCCAGGGACGCCGGAACGATAATAGGGCAAAGGGGGGCGGACGCACACCAAGGGCACCTTTACTGAAAAATTTTTTTCACTGCAAAATTTTTTGGCGACCTCCTCCCCCCCCCCCCTCGCCAAAAAATTTCGGTCAGTGTACCATTTTAGGGGTCAAAATTTTTTTCCGGACATACAAAAATTTTCCGTGAAGCCAAAAATTTTTCCGGATATCTTAAATTTTCGCCATTTCTTCAAAATATTTTTCTAAATTCCAAAAATTTCCCAAAATTTTTATAAATATAAACTATAAATTACCTGAATCTCGTGATTTTCCTACAAAAAGCATCGTTGGAAATGTGATTTATCACGTATTATTTTACAACTAAAAGGGCACTTCTGCCCCCCCTGCCCCCTTTAGCAAAAGGCAAGGGGGGCAGCCGCCCCCCCCTGCCCCCCCAGTTCCAGCGTCCCTGCAACTGGCCCCCTGATTTGTACATGAACTTGTGGTTAGCCCTTTCCAATTAACCACAGAAGGTCCGTAGTCAAAGTGCTACACTGGAAAATCTATACAATCGTCGCTCGAAATTTTCATGCGCAAAATTTACGGTAACTAGCCTTACCTTATTACTCAGTAATTGGTTTTTATACTGTTGTGGTGACCCTGCCACTCTTTTTGTGGTAAAGTTATAATATAATATAATATAATACCGTATCCCGAAAGAGATTTTCAAAAAAGTAATCAACATAATTTCTTCCGATGTCAACCGGAAAATGCACGATACCATGAAAAAGTTTAAAGTCAAACAAAGCTTTTGTTGGTTATATCTATATATTATATGTATATATAGTGCAAGATTCTATAATTGTATACAAAATTTAGCATAATTCATTCTATTATTCCAATCCTACGTTATTTTCTACTCCTTGTTCCCGGCTTATTTGTAATAAATTCCCAGTATACCGTACTATATACGTATAATTTAACCAATAAATTAAATTAATTAACCCAAATAAGGTTATCTCTAGGCAAACCACGGAAATTTTAACCAGAGTGCTTTTAATGTAATGCCTGTAATTCCATCTCTTCCAACCCGTAGTCCTGATTCATATACTAACCCAAGCCCAATTGCCCAAGTACTGCTTGCGATCCAGTATACCCCTTCCGCAAAGTACTCAGCCTTGGCTTTGGAGCCTCAATTTCAGGATTGAGATATCGGCTTTAGAGCCATTTATCTTGTTACTCATGACACATACAGTTATACTAGATAATATAAATAACCTGAACGATACGAGTTAAGAAGTACAGTAACAACACACTGATGTTATCGAAGCACAAAACCAATTCAATGAAAAGGACTTTCGGATATGCTGCTGCCAAAGCATGGAATCAAAGTAATAAGTAAAGTTTTTTTTATCTTATTTGAAGTGTGAGGGGGGAAATAAGGGAGGTTTGGGCGAATAAATTGCTAGTAGGGGGGGGGGGGGTTCTATAAAATTTCTTAATCATATTGCTACATGCACGGCCTACCGTGTTAAAAGATGTTTTATAAATAAATAAATAAATAAAAATATAACTAAGTCATCGGCATTAACATAGAAGTCGCTATCTCAATCCTGAAAACGAAGCTCCATAGCTAAGCCTACCCGGAAGGATGTATTGAGAAAATTCGCAATGTCTAAAATTTTGACTCCTGGAGTCGTTTGTTACCCAATCAAAACAAACATAATCATATTCATAATCATAATCATAATCATATTTGTGTTCATTATAAAATTATGCCAGAACAGATCTCTATTTTGAGATTAGCAGGCTGGCAGTGTTTACAGTATGTGCAGTTTTCTGATAAAACAAACCTGACCGCCGTTTTTCAAATCAGAGTAATTCTTCATTCGACTCATTCTGGCCTAACCACACGGCTGGAATAGAATAGAATAAAGTAAAGTTAGTAGGTGCTAATCTTTTATCTTGTGCTAAACATTTATCTCACGTCAGGGCAGTCTTTTGTTTGGCAAAGCCATACAAGCACTTCTTGTCAACACTATGCAAGTTTTCCCTTGCAGCGGCTGTACACACGAACAAATTTTCCTTGTCCAAAAGCTGGTACTGTATGACTATAACTTTGGTACAAGGCTCTTTCGCAAGGAAAAATCGCGTACACGCCCGCAAATAAAGGCCCACTTCCACTTAATAAAAATTTCCACGGACAAAATTCACGGACAGAATATTTTCCGAAAATATTATTTTTGAAAGTTGAAAATTGTTAATTTCAAACTTTTCTTTGAGTGGAAATGGGCTTTCAAACTTGTCAAAGTAAGATTGCCCGTCTGTACAGGGCTTGAAAAAAGGGCTTTAATCCAGACAAGATGGACGAAATCTATCATGATTATAGCTTATAACATCCTTAAATTAGTAAAATTGTCAAATTTGGTTGCAAAATGTTGTAAAATACCGAGAATATAGCCCTGTGAAATTAGCAAATTTTGAGTATTTTACAGTAGTATTACGCGCGGAAAAATGCACCACTTTTTAGCCGAAATATACTATTTAGCGCGTAATATACTAAAATACTCAAAATTTGCTAATTTCTCAAGGCTATATATTTTTCGTATTTTACAACATTTCGCAACCAAACTTTGCAATTTTACTAATTTTAGAATGCTATTTTGAGCTATAATGATAGATTTCGTCTTTCTTGTCTAGATAAAAAATTAGTCGATACCTGGAATATCCATTGATTACCTGGGATGGGCATTTGCGAATACTCCTCAGGTTGTTGAAGATGATCAACATTGGAACGTAGAAACGATCTGGACTCTTGGGAGGTGTAATACCTAAAGAAACAAAATTGAACGTAACAGATTTTCATCAAATAAAAAATTAGTTTTGAAATCATGTCCAGGCATACAGGTCCAAGATTGAAAGTTAAGAAAAGAATTAAGCTTCAAAAGGTAGGCAAACAGAGAAACAATTAAGAAAAAGAAAGAATTTCAGATGTTTTCGCAACAATATTTTCTCTTCATCAGACCTGGAAAAAAGTAGGATATCTCGGGATCCTAAGGAACATTTTGCCTTAGCAAAAAGATTGAGGAACATTTTCAAATTTTCACACATACGTTGTGGGAGAATATTAAGGAATCATTATATCATACTTCCTTATCTGACATTTGAGATTGTGAAGTGTTGTTCAATGTTCACATTTTGAGGAATATTTACTCACTTTTGAGGAATATTTGAAAAAGGCAAGTTCAGGATCCGAGGACTTTTTGACTTTCTGGGTTTTATCTTAATCCAAAGAAAGCTTCGATAGGCCTGATATGCAACTACTGATAGGCCTGGGATGCAACTACTTGAAAAGATAACTTCGACGTTTCGATTGGCACTATACCTGCACTGGCAGTCCCACACACTTAATGCTTACCTGTTTAGATCACCTTTGCTGGACCAAATCTCATACAGAACAAATACATCTGAGTGGGAGAACACGCGAATTGATAGTCTAATAAATAGAGAAATGAATGAATGGATAAAACAACATTTGAAACAAATTTTAAAAGAGAACTGATTCTTCAAAATATTTAATATCGAACTTTCTCTTAGCCTCATTTTATTAATAGAATTTTTAGTGTTATGGATTATAATGACATACTCAACACAGCCTTGGGCAAGACCAGTCGCATTAATGTAGGTCCTCAACGATTTTTTGTATTCCTCCTGACTTTCAGTGTTAACGACAAATTTACGCCTTACGATGAGAACCTACAGAACAAAGTATTGTCAATATTGTAGCGCTATTTTAAAGGTGTTGGGAAACTATAGCTTTGTGGCAACCCAAGGGTGATGGCAACACAGGCGTATAAATGATAATTAATCCAATACATATAGGGAGAACTGTTTAAAACTGGTATAGAGCGTTTAGTTTAGGTTTCCTCCTGTAGTAACACTTCATGGATCAATAATTAAGTGATGGATGTTACCACAGATTAAGTATATACCAGGGGCCGGTTGTTCAAAGCCCGATTATAGCGCTAACCCTGGGTTAAATTTTAACCTGCTGTTTTTGTTTATGTATACTTCTGCGTGATAATTCGTTTCGAAACTTTAGAAAATAAAACCTGTGTGAAAATGTGAAGTTGCACAGTTGTTGATACTTAATCTGTGATGTTACTGTACCTCTTAGGAGAACAGTTTAGAACTGATAGAGCTATATCCAGTATAAATAAAGTTATTATATACGCAAGGTCTGGATATGAGGTATTCTGCAATCTGATTGGTTCTCTACTAGCAGGATATTAGCTCATATCCTGCCAGTAGAGAAAAACAAAATGGCGGCTCAAACTGAATTTCCGGCGTTTGCGAACGAGAAAACGGCAAGTTTTTCGCTTTTTATAGCCTTTACAGGATAAAAAACACAATGAAAAAACTTCCACAAATTGTTTACAGGTTAGCAAATGAATTTTTAAAATTTAAAATGGTTAAAAATATATATTTTGGTAAAAATAATCGGCCGAAAGAGCGAAGATTAAAACATAAACAAAATAGAAAAATATTGAAAATATCCGAAAAGCAAAGTCTGTGAATTCAGATCTTGTGTATATAATAAAACAGTTATTCCACTCACTCTCGTTGAATATAAGCGATATGCGGCGCTACGCGCCTCATCGGCTATCAGCTCATATTCGACTCGAGTTCGTAGAATAACTGTCAATTAGTTTCGTTTTGGTTTCCTCCTGTAGCAACACTGGATCAATAAGTGAGGGAGAACAGTTTAGAACTGATATAGCTATCCAGTATAAATAAAGTTTGCTTATAGGTTACTTAGGTTTCCTTCTGCATGAAGTAACAATTCACCGATAAAGGTGGGTCTTTAATGGACCTCAAGGGATACCAGTTTAGAAGTTATAGAGCTATAAATTTACCGTTTTGTCATTCTTTGGATCAATTTCTTCTTCAACGACATTAAACTTCACCTGGTGAAACAACAAAAACAGGAAGAGAAGCCATGAACATCTGTTCAAAAACTGTCATAAAATCAGCCGAGGGTCTTTTTGGAAATTTAGGAACAATAAGTGGGCTTCAATACTGCAGTCGTCAGTGCAAGCGCCCCTATGAGAGGGTGGGATCGATTCTCTTGTTGCCTATTCATGTGAAAAGAGTCAGTAAACGCTCTGCCGAAAGTCATAGGTTTTCTCCGGTGTCAAGCGAAATTCCTGACCTCTGCGAAATACCTGACCAAGCCATAACGGGTCAGAAATTTCGCGCGTGCAGGCGCGAAATACACGACGCTTGCTAAATTCTATGTCGGCCAAAACGATGTTTTAGAGTTTAGATAAAATAATCATGATATGTTAATTGCTAATACTTCGTTAAATATTTCAAATCGACATCGCTAAGTTTCAATCATAAACACTTTAAATTTCCGAAAGCGAATTGTGTGGTCGTGACCGCGAAATACACGACGTTTGCTAAATAGAATCGGTCGAAACGATTTTTAAGTCCATATGCGATGTTACCACAAATGTTTCTAATATAGACAACGCCAAATCTAAACGGCCAACTCGGCAACTCACGAACTCATTGTTGCTGTTTGCTCAGTACTGAAATCGTGACAATTGAGAAGGTCAAACGCGAAAAAATTTTTGGTGCTTATAGTAATGCTTTATAAATACACATGTTGTCTGTTGAGTTGCGAAATTTATGAGCCAAAGTTATTCATGCACATCGTCTGCGCATGGGCAGTTCTACAATAGTCAGATATTTCGCAAGTCAGGAATTTCGCGTCACACCGGGTGCTCCGGTTTCTTCTGACAGGGAAAGTTGACAGGGTGGATTACACAGTTGTAAGAAAGTATAATTGTTGTAAACAGTCCATGGCCCGGTTTTGAAGTGTTTTGCATCTCGTTTTGCTGTATAGAAATCATAATCTTAAACAATACTGATCTAATTTGAATGGAAAATCTCACCTCACCTATGTCAAAAAGGCGATTTGATATAGGCTTAGCAGTGGAAATGGGAAGATATGGCAATTAGACAGGTTTAAATCGAGGACGTGGACGTCAAAGACGACGTGAAAATGGCGTGTTGTGTCCATGTATGGATATGCCACGCCATATTCGTCTTCGACGTCCGCGTCCTTGATCTAATGATCTGTCTATTATTTTAACAAAGCAGTACCTTTGATTCGAGTTTATTTACCAGCTCAGCTAAACGGTCAACTTGTGAAGAAAGACGACAAACGGAGTTACCTGATGGATACAATTAGCCAATTGTTACGAACATGTTCCAAAACAAATATAGAGCGTTTGCACTCATTCAATTTCCCCAGGGACCAACTCAACGGAAGCCATGGCGGCCATGTTGGTGTTCCAGACAAAAGAGTCCAATTAAAATTCTTTTGAATTGGAACACCAACATGGCGGTTGTGACGTCATGTGCAAACGCTCTGTAGCATCTTTCTCTCCAATATTATAGTAGCAGGGTTTGTATATGTCAGAAAGAGAAAGAGTAAAATTCAAGGACTTTGTACGTTGGGTTCCTTTCGTTTCGTGCAGTGTGGGATAATTCAATAATACAGCAGCTTATTTGACTTATCAAAGTTTGCCAAAATATTATGTCGGAAGAAGATCAAGATACTGGGAGTATCCTTCGATCCAAGTACCCGGTTATCGATTTTTCAGATTTGGCAAATATGGACCTTACAATTAAAATCTCCATGCTCATGCAAATTAGTCTATACCAAAAATTTCATAATATTTGGACATTCAGGGGGCAACATTTTTTGTGCACCATCATGTGTGTATCTATAGGCTTGAACTACGTCATGTACCTTCATTGCTCATCTGTTGTTGATAATTTTGAATTTTCTTCTTAGTAATTTTTGTTTTCGTTCCGCTACTTTTCTGTTCCACGTATGGATTCCCGTTTCTGGAGTTAAATGATGAACATTAGACAGTGACTTGTAAAACTCCAATTGAACTAGTATGACTGTCCAATTGAAAAGAAATTCATTCATGTACCGTTTGCTCTGTTCATCTTCCTCAATCTTCTCCAAAGCTGTGTCAACATGATACTGAAGTGAACCCAACTGGTTTGTAACCTAAAGTACAAAATTTTTAATGGTACCATATATTTAAGCAGTTGTCCACCCTTTAGTGAAGGACTCTCAAAGACATTTTTTCATAAATTCAAGGACCTCAAATTCAAGAATTCAAATTATAAAGACTTTCCAGATCTGGATTTTTTTTTAAATTCAAGGACTTTCAAGAACATTTTCCCGTGAATTCAAGGACTATTCAAACCTATAAAGATTTTCCAGATCTGGATTTTTTTTTAAATTCAAGGACTTTCAAGGACATTTTTCCGTGAATTCAAGAACCTATTCAAACCTATACATTCCAGATCTTAACATATTTTTTTAATTCAATTAGGACTTTCAAGGACATTTTTCCGTGAATTCAATGACCTATTCAAACCTATAAAGATCTGTCTGTCATCCTGCCTGTCTGCCTATCTGTATCTTTGTCCCTCTGACTGTGTCAGCCAAATATTAGCTTGTCTGTCTGTCTGTCTGTATCTGTGTTCCTATATGACTCCTCTCTATATGCCTGTCAACATATCTGTCTGTTTGTCTATTGTTAGTCTGTCTGTCACAATTATACATACAGTTATTGAGTACCTCTTGCATTAAAAACCTTCTTGTAAACTTTCCAAAGAAGCTTGAATCAGGATAATTCTGACATAAAGATGAGAAGAAGATAATTCAGCAGTACTTTCACTATGAGAATACACCACTAGTCATTCCTCCCTCCTCAATAACTGGAGAACAACTGGCACTAGCAGCTGTATAAGAAACTAGTACATATATTATATATAACTTGTCATGCAAGTATAAGTAATATTAGCAAGTTAGATCTCTCCTTCCTAGTTGCAAGGAATTAGCCATTTCTCAGTATTATACACTTTTTCCAATTAAAGTACCTTTGATGTCTCTAATAGAGCATTATGAACAGCAGAGTTCATGTTTTCTAGACCAGAGAAGATAGATGAAAATGGTCCCAAATGTTCTTGAAAGTAATCTATGAACATCATAAAAAATAGGTATTATTGTTCTGCGGGGAAAATGATCATCAGGGTTGGATCTACGTTGATATGATGGGGGGAAGGGGAGGGGTGTACTAGTAGTCATGGTGTGAACATTGATTCAAAAAGGGTGCATATAATTCATCATCAAATAGGGATATATCTAGCTTTGTAATTTCAATTTATACAATTACTTCCTTAATTAACCCTGAAGATGTCTTGAGTACAAGATGAAATGTTAGTTCTTACACAAATACAAATCTATAAAATTTCTTGTTATAGGTATTATATTCTTAGACATTAGGGAAATTTATACGGAACAAAATAAGACGCGACTTACATAAGACGCGACTTAAGTAAGACGCAAGTTTGTCGTATAAAAGGTAAAAAATTCTTATGTAAGACGCGTCTTGGATAAGACGCGTCTTACATAAGAACAGGTCTTTTAGCTGTTCTTATTTAAGTCGCATCTTAAATAAGAAATTTTGGACAAAAAATCTAACTACACATGCCAGAAACTTGAAACAACGTAAATTTAATGCCTTGCATATTAAAAAAAAACAAAAAACAAAACAACATTATAGCTATAGCAAATAAATAAGACCAAAGCCGTAGAGAACCATTTATGCGATAACTCCTCTTATTTAAGTCGCGTCTTATGTAAGTTGCGACTTATTTTGTCACGTATAAATG